TAACAGCAAACACGACTAAACTTCAGACTTGTGGCTGACGACGGCCTCTCTGGCCTCCGCATCAAAACACTAGTGGTACCACACACGCAACATTGAAACAGACCCGTTCTCAATCCAACTTTTCATCTCATATGACTCAAATATTAGTAAACTACATACCCAGAGATACTTTTTCAACGTTCCCCATCATTTTACTAGCCACAAAAATTAGAAAAAGAAAAGTAAAATAGTGATGTAAGATGAATCACCAGTTTTACGTTTTGGGTAGTGGCCCGACAGGATTTGGATGGCCAACAAGAACAAGGGGAAACATCAACAACTAAAGCGTCGGACTCTGTCCCATTGCAGTTCCCCCCCGTGGCTTGGCGCCGCCCCGGCCCGCCGCCACCCGCCGCCACTCACCGCCACGCCCCCGGTCACACGCGCAGGGCCCACGTGGGTCGAGTGTTGTTTTTCTCGCGAAGCGCACTAATGTGTCTCCTCGTGGAGAGGCCCTTACACCCGAAAGCGATGCGCAGTGCGCAGTAACCGATGCATTGCCGCTAACGGCCACCTTTGGCTCTCTCTGTTGCAGGGCTCACCGGCGCACCGCCACGCCATGCACTCCTCCACGTCGCGCCACTTCTCCAGGGCGTCGTCCAGGACCTCGCAGAGCAGCCTGCAGTCGCCGTGCAAGTCGGCCGGCTCCAGCCCACCCAAGAGCGAGTCGACGTCGAGCCTCAACAAGTTCCACACGCGGCTCGTGGACAAGCTGAAGCGCTCGCTCAAGTCGGGCAGCAAGGACGGCGCCACGGCCTCCTGAGGCGCGGCCCCGGGGAGGAGCAGCAGCAGCAGCAACGTGGAGGTGGCCGCGGACGCCCTCAGGACGCTGAACCTCTCCGGCCGCTGCACCGCCGCCTCCCCTCCCGGATCTTCTCACCGGTCGTCGCCCGTCGCCGTGCCCAGGCCCACCGCCATGTCGCAGCGCGTGGCCAGGGCCGAGGCCAGGGCGGCCGCCTCCTGCCCCGCGGCCCCGCACGGCAGGGCCTCATAGCGACGGCGCAGCCCCGCCCGGGGCGCCTGCTGTCCGTACGCCCGCCGGAGGCGGGGCATTCCGCGGGGCCCTCCGCGGAGTCCTCCGCGGGGCGCAGCGCGCGTGCACTCCGGCACCGCGCGAGTGTGAACGTGTAGTGCGCATGCGCGGGGGGGTGACTGCTCTCTCGCTCTCTCTATCTCTCTCTTCGTAGAGGCTTTATATAATTGTATTAACTTATTTGTCGATGTCATTACATCAGTATGTTATTATTATTATTATTTTTATACGACAGAGTTGAACTGCCATTTTCGTTTGGACCAAATCCTTTATACCAAAAAAAGTCTTCTCTTTTCTTCTGGATTTATTAACGATTGGACTACGTCTTCTACCATCGGGTGAACGTATTGGTCCGCCCAGTTCCTACTTGACAGGTCTTTGCTTTCTCGACGCGACACTGTCGAGAATCAAACCAAGACTGTGACAGAGGGACCGCCTCATGAGATCTGAAACTACATTTGAGTTCCTGTGGGGGTGGATGGCGATACCACTAGAGACTCAACTCAGGGCTGTGTTCTTAGTAGCGAGAACTGAGTCGTACGCTCCTCTCGCCGTTCTTTAACAGTTTTTTAGAAGCTCAGAAACCGGTTGACAAACGCCACTGATGCGGTGGCAATTCAAAAAGTGTCTGCTGGTTGGTGCAAGCAGCCCTACCGCCAGGCCTAAGAAAAGAAAACTATAAGCAGTTTAGGTTTTGTCGTCAAATACATAATGGGCAGTTCGCCGACTTACGTATCGGTGTGGCTGACTTAATTAATACATCGTATTTTTATGTGAGGTCGTTTTATTGGTGCTCTCGCTTTTCGTGTGCATTAAGGCGAGACTTTCAGGCCAGACTTTCCTCGAGTCCTATATATACCTATCAGTATGTACGTGCGAGAGGGTATTTTATATTAATCTTTATTAGACTTTATTACTTGTACCTCGTTTTATCTGTGAGTTACTTCCCCCGCAACATTTCGCAATAAGACTTCCCAAAGAGTGGCTCCGATCCTGGCAGAGCTCTTGGCAGTCAGCTCGGCAGGTCACGTGGTCGTGAGCCGCTCTCTGTGTTTAGTCAGGTCCCGCTGGCTTGTACGGCGTTGCTGGTTGCCCGACGGTCGCCAGGAACCAGTGCTGCCAAAATGGCGTAGCGAAGCGCTTGACAGCGGTTGGCAGCACTGGTCCGTCGCGCTCTTGGGCCGCCAGGGCGGTGAGGGTGGCGGCAGTGCTCCAGGGGGAAGTCCTCGCAGAGCCTGCCGCCGGGAACGACTTTTGGCTTGGAGGGTGTCTGTGATATATTCAATTGCTGAATGGATCTTTTGCATAGGAGTGTGTTTGTTGTTGATTTTATTTTGTGTGCAAAAACCTTTTTTGTTTGCGTGGACGTAATGTGAGGTAGTGACAGGTGGTCCGCTGAAAGATGTCTCGGGTGGGTGGTATGCTGGCTCGAGCAAGGAGAGAGGAAAAGTCTTGATGGCGACATCCTCAGTGGACTACCTGTGCGGTACGGTCCGACCACACACGGCGTACTTGCTTGATCATCTTCGCATGCGCCTGTTTTTATTTTCCTTTTTTGTTCCTGAGAGTATCTCTGCTTTCGCACAGATGGAGGAAATTCTTTTTGTTTTCCAAATCTAAATTTAACTGTGCCGCAGTTTTGCATCTTCAGAGTTTATCCAAAGTTGCGGTTATACGAGGTTTGAAAGCAGTACGAACCGCGTTTCTTTGTTTGCTCCACCTGTGCTAAAGAATTTTGTTATTATTGCATTGTTAGTGTTCTTTAGAAAAAAATACGAAACAGAAGACTGTCACCAAAGAATTTTTTGTGGTAGCCTGAGAGACAGCGTGTCATTAATTCATCAATGCCAATGCCAACCTGATGTATAGCACAACACTTTGCGTCACGAAATATTTGTTGATTGATATATGACACGCTGCATTTGGCTCAGTGAGAACTGCTAGTTAAATCCACTGTATACCTTGACTGTTGTTATTTGGACTGTACTGTACGTGTGATTGGGTTGCGTTGCGGGTGTTACCCCGGCTTGGGCAGAGTTTTCGTAGAAAAAAATGATCAAAATTTGACATCTATTGTAAAATGCTCGTCCAAGGCACCTCACTACATATGAAAATTGCACATTGTAGTGATTTACGGCATATTCATTATTGGCCAAAATTGAGAAATGCGATAGAAATAATATAAATTTAGTATATCACCCATCACCCTTATGTATTCAGGTGCTTAGACTGCAAGATACCAAGTCGTATTTTCTTTAACATCACAAAAAAAAAAGATGATTGCGGTTTCTGTTGTTGACAGCTTTCTCAATGCTTGTAAAAATCAATGAAAGGAAGCCCCACTTCGATACCGGTGCTTTGATAGGCGTTAAAGGGTGCTCAGCTATTTATTGGAATTACTGGAATAAAACATCTTAAGCTCATGCTGAACTATGGCTCGCAATATTTCTTAAGGAAGTGGGGTACGCAAGGTAAACCGACTGTGATTTGGTAGACTAATTTAGTGGATCATTTTTAGTTTTATTGTTAATGAATGATAGGGAGCATTATCACATACGCCCGCAATGTATGTAACCATGTACGATAGATGGAAAAATGAGTTTTGTTTGATTGTTTTAGTTGTTTTTCTTTTATATGAAAAGTACATTCCATTCATATTTTCATCTGCCATAATGTTGGAAACGTAGTCCCGCAAAAATGCAGTTGTCGGTCTGCAATCAGAATTATGTAAGATGTACATCAGTAAAAATTTATGTGACAGGGTGAAACTAAATATTGCCAACAACTCCAGTGCCACAAACTGTGATTACACGGCCAAAATTTGTTGTGCTCCCCCATTTCTTAAGACGAAGAAATCCCTGTGTACTGGATCTTTTCATATGTGCCCGACAAGTAGTTATCACCGTCCCACTTAAACGTGTTGTGAAAGCGAGATGCTATGCTGTGTGTTTACTCTGTAGTATTCCTTCCCAGTCTCTGATTTTAAGTTGTAAGTGACGTTGTGCACATCTTCATCATTCATCACGCCTTTATGATCAGATACCATATCTCATTAAAATAATTTGATTTGAATTGCGATTTTGCATTTTATTTTATTCCTCCTCCTTGACCGAGTCCTTTAACTATCGAAACTCTCTGGCCGCCGAAAAAAAAGAGCAGCTGGCCGCCGGCGCACTTACATTTGTCTCGTCGCAATCACAACCGTGATGAGCGAACACGGGTTGTGCTGTGCATACCCGCCTGCAATCACAATCACACTCGCTGACTGGGGCGCGCGCGGCTCGGCGCCAGCAGCAGCAGCCGCAGCAGCCGCCAGACTCGCTTGGACGAGCGAAATAAACATCCATCCGCATAATTGGTTATCCAGGGCTGGGCCGGCCGTATAAATATAGCCGCGCGTCGTGTGACGCAGGTCGTCGTGGTGATTGACCCACTACTGTACTGACTGAAGCTGACGGGGCGGCCTACACCGCCGTTTGCAGACCCTGGCCATTAAGGCCCTGGCCCTGGCCAAGGTGAGGGGCCCTCCTCCTCAGTCCCTCTTGTAAGAATGCCAAACAATCTGCGACGCCCCGGCCCCGGCGAGCGCAAAGCTAAGCCGGGGCGATATGGCTGTCCCCCCGTGCTCGGATGTGTTTCGCCGAGTTCGTCGCTCAGGCGGTTCAGGAGGGCGAGACATCCAGGCGCGGTGAACTGAACTCGTTTTGCATGTCAAACTTAGTTCACTTCACTTGCTTCTCAAAGTCAGCGGCGTCTCATCAATTCAGTCTGCCCGTACCCTCCAGGTTTTAGCACCGAGAGTCCCACATCGTGACCCCGCGGCCGCGGAACCGCGTCTTCCACCTCGCTCCCCCTCTGCTCCAGTTCCAGCCCTGCATGCCATAGCGTGCAGGGCCGCCATGACCCTGCCGTCGGAGATGACACCTGTGTATCAGACTATCTGACACCCCATTTCTAGGGCAAGCTTCAACTACAAACCAGATTTACACCGACAGTATTATTACACGACCAGAAAAAGTCCGTCGATTGATCTAACATTTCGGACTGTAAAAAAAGTGGGGCTTTGTCAAATGTTGCGGCACTCGGCACTCGCGCGATTTTGGTCACTCATGTGAGGAAGCGCATGCAAAATAATAATTGTATATCAGCGTCGGACATTCGATATGCTCGACGGACAGGAAAGAAGAGAGAAGGGGGAGGAAAGGGGGTGCG